CCTTAAGGGCCAAATTCTGTATATTAGATTACTCATAAAAGGAAAATCAGACTGCCACTTTTATGTACACTTACTACATACAGGTAGGTAGCAAACTTAAAACAAACAAAAAAAACCTAGGCATGTTGATGTTGCAAAAAAAAAAAAAAACCGCTGTATAAAGCTGAAAAATTGTTCATCTGTTCATTCAGTGCCATTGTAGTTGACATGAAGCGATTGTAAAACTGTCTCCGATTTTTCTCTGGTTTATTAAGATGCTAACTATAACATTTTTTGTGAATACTTTGAATGTTTCCTAACAGTTGTGATGTTACTGTTCCGTTTTATGCTCTTATTCCGATTTTCATTTTTAATGGTTTGGAAGCCATTTTTGTAATGAATAAATGTTCATGCTGTACAGTATCTGTAGCATGCAGTTCTGGATTAATAAAAGCAACTTAGTATGTGCACAGAACGACTTGTCAACTCATTTATGTGTGGATTGCATTTTATGGTGGTCAAGCAGGTTTAAAACGTGGACTCCCTTTGCATGCGTCTGATAAGAAGAGCTGGATGAAAGGATTTCAAATTTTCAACAAATAAATGACAAAAAAAATTCTGGTGTTCATGAACTTTTTGCCGATTTTCGGCCTACTCCACTCATGGGAAATATTTTTGATTTGTATAATGCCATTGTAGCGGAGTTCCTGTTCATTTCGGTGGAGAAAGCCTTTGCCTTGTTCAGCAAACTGGTGTGTGTGGAGGGGGTGTGTTTGTGTGAAACAGCAGTGAAATCACTTTTATGTTAAGCAATTAGCTCATTGCTGGCATTATACAATGAATAAATAATAACATGAACTGAAAATAATGTTATTCTCCCATTTGATTCTGACAGTTGAAGGGAAAGATAGGTCTGATTGGTGATGCTTTAAAAGCAAACTCCATATGCTCAGCCCAGCAATCTAGTGATTCATCAGGTCAGTTTCACATCATAGGGGATGAAATTCCCCTAATTGAGACTGACGTGGTACACATGCATAAGACCGTGTTCTGCTCCTTTGCACGGTGCTGACATGAACTGACACGTGATGTGTGTTTGAAAGAAAAAAGGTTTTGGTTACAATGGACATTTTGAGCACTTTGGCTGATTACTGCAATTTGGAGGGAGTAACTCCCAGGTTCTACTGTTGCTTAAAAAAAAAAAAGTAAGTTTCCAGCTTGCCCCGGCATTCGTTTCTGTCAATCAAAAAACAAAAAGGACCAAAGAATATTTTCAAGAGTGCTCAATACCCCCCAGAGAAGAGCAAAGCGGGGTCCTGAGTGCTTTTGAAAATCTCACCCCTAATTCTTAAACGCTTTTCTTAAGCAATTTTCTGATAGTCCAGTGCTAAAGCAAGATTTTTTGGGGGGGGGGAGAGAGGAATTTTGGTGCTCTTGTTTTAGAATCTCGTGAGAATTTGATCCCCAAATATTCCCACTGCTGATAGTGCCAGCACTGGCACAAGCTATGAATCCTGGCATTTTTACCACCATTAGTTTATCCAGGGTGAAATTACTGCCAATGCACCACTTAAGTCTCTCAAAATGGGGCTCAAATAGAACTTAGATGGTCACATAGCCATTTTGCTGGCCCCCTGCCTAAGGGAGAATTGCGGCCTGTGAGAAATGGTTCTGAACTTTCTTTGTTGGGCTGAGTAATTCAGGCACAGAGCGTGGGCCCATTTCTACCAGCCTTTACTCCCAGGAGTTCTTAGACAAGTACACCCTCCTCACTGCTATCAATGCAGCTATCCATATAAGCAAGACTTTGCAGTATATTGCCCTTGCTCGTTCAGCTGTTCTGTAGACAGGAGAATAAATGTATATGCATGTGTGTGGCTGAATATGTATTTAAATATGGCTGTTGAGGGTTTCAAAGCCGACCAGCGGATTATATTCCCCATTAAAATGTCAGTGAGAACGGTGTGGCTAAATCCCCTACTCATCTGAAATCGCTGCCATTATCCTGGCTAGAATATTATCCTGAAGAGAATTGTGAAGGTGAGACTCTTATAACATACCATTCAGTGCAATTGCATATCACTTAGCTCTTCTACAGTGCTTTTCCTCCATTGACCTCCAGGCACTATACAAAGGAAGGGGAAGTATTCTTTTATAGGTGGGGGAAACTGAGGTGCACAGTGGTGAAGTAGCCTGTCCAAGGTCACTCACAGAGCCAGGACTAGAACTTAGTGCGCTGACCCCTGCCCTAGACCTACTAGACCATGCTGCATCCATTTGCGGGTAATTTATCTGCTGACCCTGTGTGACCCAGCCTGAAGTGTGTTGGGGTGTTATCAAGAGCAAAACGAAAATCCATTAAGGCAACAGTTTAATCTGTCTCTGATTGCCTAATTGCTTTCTATGATACTTGTTCGCTAGGGAAAATATCTGTGCCCTCTTCAAAAGAAAGGAAGAACGACTTTTCTGAAGAATGCTGACCCACGCCCCCAATAAAGCCTAAATTGGAGACAAACTCAGTCTGCTGGCTAGAGAATGAGGTTGCCCGGCTTGAACAGGGCGGTGCTGGTACGAGTCTCTCCAGAGATTTAAACTGAGTATTTAGAGCTTCTAATTCCTTTTGTTGTCACTGTTGGGAAAAGGGGGTTAATCCCATAAAGCCGTGCAGCAGCCAGCATTGTTTCTGAAGCTGACGTTGCTAATAATAGATCATAAAAAGTGTGTGTTGAATTTTGGCATGTTTCCTTCTAAAGGGATTAATGCAAAGCAGCAACCCAGCAACCCCCCTTTGGTGGTTATGTACATTTAATGAGTTCCCTTTTTCCTGTAGGTCCAGGGCCTGCTCCTGCTCCCACTGAGGTGCATAGAAAAACTCCAATTGACTTCATGGGAGCAGGATCAGACTCGACTCTTTCCCTTCCTTCCCTTCCCAGACTTGTATATAAAGCTGAAGGCGTTTTCTCCTGTGCAATCTGCCTCCAGCCTGGTTCAGTTGTTGAGGCTGCATTCCAGTGTTGGTGAAACCATATTTATTTCTATGTTTGTGAAAGAGACGTCACCACCCATGACTGCAAGAATCTGATGCATCTGAAACACATAAAATGCCAAACCTCACTACAGTTGGTAGCCAGGAAATTGAACATGATGCTGGAATTACTGTCCAGCTACACAAGGGTTTTGGGGAGGTTTTTTATGTTTCAAACTCTTCCTGGAACACAACCATCCATCAGCCAAACACATGTGCTGTATCAGTGCTGAGGATGGCTGCTCTCTTCCAGTATGAAATACGGCACTCTAGGGAGGACTTTGAGAACCATGGTTCAAAGGAGACGCCATCAAGGTATGATTCATGTATTCAGCAAAATGGGGTTTTTTTGCTTGCTGTTTTATTAGCAACTTTTTGAAAAGCTAAGCCCAGAATCTGATTCTGGACACAATGGTTTTCCTCATGTGCACACTATGAGAGAGGCACCATGCACAACAGTGTTGCAGAGGTCTTGTGTGTGATGGGCTAACTGGTGTTGAGGTGTATTTCTGACATGTTGAGGGAAACCATCATACAGATTTTGGAAACAAATAACATGGGTCATAATTGAGTATCATCCTCCAGACCCTGAGAGAGAGCTCTTCAAACAATTCAGGCAGGCACTGTTGATATTTCTCTCAGTTGTTTTACATCGAAGGGCATGATCGATCCAGCAGGGGTCGATTTATCGCGTCTAGTGAAGATGCGATAAATCGACTGCCAAGCGCTCTCCCATCGACTCCAGTACTCCACCATAGGCGGAGTCGATGGGGGAGCATCAGCTAAGTGCTAAGTGCTGTACGAACCCAGCACAAACAGTTCCTGCCCCAAAGAGCTTCCAATCTAATTATAAACCAAGATGGATCTGAGAACATGACTGATCTGGGGACTGAGCTACTGATCACTGCACGCCCGCTGCACAGGGGTGAATTTCAAACGTATGTTACACCAAAGACTTTACCAAAGGGATGGTCTGATTAAGGGGCCTTATACGGCCAGGGAAATTAATAATGTGGGGGGCTTCCACGTGACCACATGGAGTCCTACATACAGCTAGCAATTCACCATAGCTATTCCTTCCATCTGTTTTTATAGGGTAAGGCAAAGAAGCTAGTCAATATTTCTCACAGTCAGGAGACATTTATTTTCCATGAGCTTTGTAAAGCTCATTTTTCACTTAGTGGATGGAATTTTAAGAAGTTAAAGCTGAAGTAGTTGCTGACTCAGTAAACCAGTGCCACATGGTTCTACGCTTTACTGAAAGAAAGAGAACGAAAGAGAGACTCTTTAGAGGTCTACTAGTTTTATTAGACCATAAAAAGATGTAAGGGGGATTCACAGTGAAAATAACAGCATGGGCCATTTGTACTATCATGAAAACAAACAGTAATAAACAAAAATCTGGTGCATGTGTGTGACAGAACAGTTTGCAGCTAAGATGCAACATAGC